CGGCTCTTACTGAAATGCGCAACACCCACATCGATTCAATCCCAACTCTGGTGTGTATGCTAATTTTTCACTTGCATTTGAAAAATTTGTCTTTATGGAACATCAAAACGGAAAATGACGAGGTTTCCCCCCAATCACTAAGAGAGTCTCTTCTTGCTGTGCAGGAAACCATTGAAAGTTATGGAGGCCCCTCTGCTTCCCCCCAGTTATCCAACGTTTGTAATATTGCCTCCTATCTTCTTGAATCGGCAGATGCCTCCTTTTCCGGTTCAGACATTCATTCCTCTATAAACTCGCTATGGTACTTGGCCAGAAATGGTGTGGAGACGACCTCTTCCCTTCTAAGGTATGTGAACGATTTTTATCGATCGTTTTAGTAACTATTCAAAAATCAAACCATTTTCCAAGCTATTAGAGGAGAAAAGCCTTGTGATCGATAGGCTCGCCAGTACATTATCCAAGTAACCGCCCAAATGTGCTTCCAAAAAGCAACTGCCCCCCCCCTCAATAAGACAAATAAACTGGAATCGATTTTAAATTTTATTGTTTCTTTTCCCCGCCAGATGTCCTTGAAGCTAATAAAATGTTAATAGCCATGTCAAGATTTTCTTCACAGAGCGTTAAAACCCGAGCATTTTCCTCTTCGTTTGTAAATCCCATTTCTTTCATGTCAGCCAATTTTGAGAGAAACATTGTCGACTTGCTTCCTGGAGCGGAACCGCGTAGCTTAGACTTTGCCGCTGGATTCCAGGGATTTGGAATGGGCTCTTTGTTGACTGTTTTCTGTGTAATTGAAGATGCAAGTAGGCTATCTTTTAAAACTGGGTTTCTGGACATGGATTCGTCCATTGCATCTAGGAGGGGTTTTTGAATGTTGGCATAGGATCTTCTGAGGGCATTAAAGCCCTCAGGCAGCATTTCAATGTTGCTCATCGCTAGATCCTGGTTCCTCATCATTTCTCGTTGCAATGCGGGATTTTCAAATGCCTTCATGGTCTATTTCAATCAACTATGAAGCAAAATACCTCTTTGATGATTGCTGGATCGTTGAGGATATGCTCGAGCTCCGGGTTTTTCTCCATCAAGCTTTTGATGGCAGGGTCTGACGAGGAATTTCCCAGAATTGACGAGGGCATTTTCTTAAACATGTCCTAAAAATAAGGCCAAAGTCATACTTGAAACGATGGTGTTTTCATCATTGAGGACATCATTTTCAAAATGTTTGCATCAAATCCCCTTTCGGTCGCAAAATGTTGATCAGACGACGAGGAGGAGATGGAGCTATTGTTATTAGGGTTGGTAGAGTTATTAGCAATAATTTTTACAAGTGTGAATGTATCATCGGGACCTAGAGTTACGAAAAACACATACTTATATTGGCAAGCAACTCGGAATCCTGGAAAATCCTGCCTCGTACAATCAGCCGCATTTCTGACGGCTGAAGGCATGTGTACAATTGCAGCTTCTCTTTCAAGGTGCCAATCGATTTATCCTCCGGGACATCAATCAAAAAAGACTCATCATTATACTGAATGGAGGCAATAAATACGGACTTCTCGTCATCGCTGTCATAGACAGACGGGGATACCTGATCCACTGGAGAAGATGGGTTTGAAGGTGACATTTTCAGTTTGGAAAGGGAATTAAAAAAAGAAGCTAGTAAGCTTAGACACGGACAATCACTTCAAATTTATTAAACTTTACTCAAAAATTTTAAAAAGAAAGCCTCCAATTGTCTGACCAGTTTTACCGAAAGCGGGTCCTCCCCACCATTCAGGGGATGGGTTAGGATGCCAACCATTCCGGAATAATTTGCCATAAAGATATCTGTAAACAACCTGTCCCCGATAATTGCGATTTCATCGGGCCTTATTGACTTTTCATGGAAATACACTTTGATATCCTCGCCACAGGCAGGCTTCTAGCACATTAGAATCAAGCTTGCGGCAACCTTGCGATGGTGTGATAAAATGGGGATGCCAATGATATCCTGAATTTATCAAGTAGAAAAACGAACCCTGGGCTCTGTGGCAAAGTCATCTGGCCCACCGGCCCCATTGGAAACAATGATGCATTCGAAATGGTGTGCAATTTCCCTGACTCGTTCCTAAAAGTTAAAGACAGATGCACACCTCGACTCTTTGGTCAACCGAGTCCTGATAAGGAATTGTTAAACAATTATCCTTGTCGAATACGATTCCCTTCAATTTTAGATCGTCCCTAAGCATGCAAAGGGTGATTGAGGAAATATCTTTTGAAAATCAGTTCAATTTTCTTACCCTTGACCACTAATCTTGGCCGTAGCAATGAAGGTAGACGCCAAATGTTTCCAAAAGCATATAACAAACCATCCAAATTAAAATTTTGCCTCCACTCCCTTCCTGTCAGCATAAATTTTAAAATCCAAGCCCGAGTTGTAAATTAAAACGCGATTTGCATTTTAATTTCCTTAATCTGAAATGAACCCTTCTTCCTTTCTTGCCTCCTCTGAGTCAGAGTCTAAAATCACATACTATAATCAAGACGCACAGTTTAAAGAGCCCATAGTTCCTGTCCAAAATTTGGTCGACAATTTGCTTGACGTTTTAGTTAGCAATAATTACGAGGAACCACTTCCTTTGAACATAAGCAACATAACTCTTTCCCTGGATATACAACACATCTCCCCATCTGAACAGTCTGTTTGCTCCGAGGGAAATTTGATGGTGGTATATTACCAAAATAGTATTCTTCAATCATCAATGTCTTCTGATGCGCGAGAAGAAATTCCCTCTACCCACGAAAACAACTCCACTATGGTGGGCTCCAATGCAAATATTGCATCCCAAATAATAGAGCAAAAGTCAATTTTTGAGGCTGAAATTCAGAGATCTCCAATTGCCGAAACTCGTTGCCCTACTTATATTCCAGAGTGCATAGAACCGATTACCATGCTTACATCAGATGAGCCAAAAGCCATGCCAATTGGAGAGCCAACACGTGTGGTTTCGAAGATAGAAGCTGATTGTTCTATTTTGGCTCTTGAAGATGAATCTTGCTGCAAAGAATCTATCGGAGAATGCATTTCAGATCCAAATGCGCCCTGCTCTCAAAATACAAATGAAATTCCATTCATAATTACAGATATCTCCCCCTCTTGCTGTACGACGCTTTCAGACTCGTGTCAATTCGATCCCGTAAGCACCACTAGCTGCATCATTCCTTTATCAGTGGAAGCAGCCAACAATGACTTGGTTGTGGCTGAATCTTCCTCGATCAATGTTGTTGTTGATACTTCCATGATTTCTTCTGGATATGTAAATCCTCAAACTAATGCTTTGGATGACTTAATTATTATTTCACCGACGTCAGATATGTTGGACTTTATCGAAAGCGAGCTTCAAACACAAAATACATTGCCAAAAATGAAACATACAGAGGCCGAACAAGAAGAAAAAAAAATTTTAGTAGAAGATCTGCATGAGGCCCCTTCTTTTTACCACATCAGCGACGAGTCTATCGTCTTTAGCTCTACACATCTGGTGCTGGACCCTTCTTGCGAATCGCCTGTCAACTTGGTGGAAGAAAGTCCTGTTGATTTGGTTTGCGACTCTCCCGTTGATTTAGAATGCAGTCTCAGGACACTCTCCATTGAAGACGAAAAAATTGCTCCAGCCTCTGATTTAGAATCAAAGCCACCTTCCGGCAGTGCCGCCTCTATTAGAGTTAAATCGCCCACTTATCTCCATTCGTTAAAGGAGAGGCTTGGTTGCTCCATCATATAGCTGAATTCCCAAATAAATAATTAAAACAATATTCGGTCAACCAGCCTTTTGGCCAAGTTGTCAATTTAGTTGGTTACACTAGAGTGAGGCGGAGGGCAGAGCCTTGCCATCGATCGACGCGCACTGGGGCTTTTGCTCGAGAATCCAGTCCGTTATTGTTGATAAAAGCTTTTCTTGGTGGGTTTCTTGTCCTTTTTCAACTGCATTCGCACTCCTAAACAGATGGTCTGCAAAAGGAATCAGGACCAGTGACGAGTGTGTCAGATGATTGGCAAATAAAATCGCGTCATTTACTGGTATCATCTTCAAGGAATGAATCTCAACTACAAACCTTGTCCGATGTTCCGTGAATAATCAGCGCAGGAAAGGACATTGAATTCACCACTCCAATATCCAAGGTAAAGGGAAATTTACAAATTTATACCTTGAAGAGGGGTCGCGTTGCCAAACTTGTCCACCATTTCCTTGGTAATGACGAGCGTATGATTTTTGCCTTTTATGGAAACATTCCATTCAAAGGATCCCTACTGATTGAGATTATGCTGATGGTCAAAAAACCTTTTCTTCAAGCGCGGCAAGCGATGCCTTTAAATGCTTTTTTGGTCCAGCTGGCATGTAAAATCTTCCCGCAACCATCACAAGAAACCAAAGTGAAGAAGGCCGAGTTGATGCAATCCACTTGAGAGATACATTTACTCCTATCAAATCAACCCATGCAACCACCTCTAGAATGACCAATGAGCCCAATAATTGAGAGATCGTATTTTTGATATACAAAAGCAACTACTTCGGAAATGTCCTGACTATCTTCCTATCATCAAAATTTGAATCGAACATCAAAAGAGGCATATCTAAAAGACTTATTATCGGATTGGAGGCAGGGGAAATCAAAGCGAAAGCTGATGAAAGGTAGGCTTTGCGCCAAAGCTGGCATAAAAAAGGCGTCTTTATGGGCCAGCAATCCATGGCAAAGAAGGACGAAAGAATCTTTGCTCAGAGCCTGATTTGGGATGTGGATGATCCCAGTTATTTTCTGGCCGTGTCTATTCAAAAAACAAACCTCCTCGCTATGGCAAGACATTGCTAAATTTAAAACCCGGGCTCAATTGCTGCGTTCCAATCAATTGAATGTTACGAGCGTAAATTTAATTTACAGTCCTTTTTAAATGGGATGCTATTTCGACCTCAATATTCGGCTCGTGGAGGGCAAGGCAGGCGATGCGAGCAACAACAACAAGCTGGAAAAGGAGTTTCCACTGCTACTTGGTGCGTTGATTGAAGGTATGAGCAGCATTTTATCATCACAAAGCCGGATTCAAGGGAATTGCAATTAATAGGGTTGTTGAAGCCAAGCTCCCCACTTCGCCCCCCCTCCCCTCGCTTCCGAAATGGGTTTTTAAGGTTGCAGCGGAACAATGTGCGCTGGCTGGAATCTCGCCCAGCTCTTTTAAAATTTATAGCAGGGTCACCATTGTTATGGATTCCAATAGCACTCCAATTGGACTGGTACGTGGGGCTATTGTAACTTTCCATAGCAAGAGCGGTCMCCTGCCGCTTCAAATATAGATATCATTGCCGTAGAGCCATTGAACGAAAAGGCTTTACTCACTGCCTGCACCACACTGGATGTCGATGTGATCAAGCTGAAAATGGAAGAACGGCTGCCATTTCCGTTGAAGCCCTCCATTGTGGGTGCTGCCATTTTGAGAGGAATTTTTTTTGAAATTTCTTTACAGGACGCAATTGTGTTTGGAGAGTCTGCACCAAGCAAGCTGCGAAATTTTCTGGCAAACGCTGCATCTCTCATTTCCGCAAGCAAGGGAAGGAACCTTTTGTTTACCAGTGGAGCCAGTGAAAAGTTTGGTGTAAGGTCCCCTCATGATTCTTCTAATATCCTTCATCTTCTTGGAATGAAATCTGCCTCAGATGCGCTCTTTAGCTTAAAGGAGAATCCCATAAAAGTGCTTAAACACGCAGGTATTGATGTGATCTCTCTTATCGCTAGCTATGCGAAGAATGACGTTTCGAAATGTTGTTGGCGTGAAGCCAGATCCGTCATTTTCGGAGCCGGTATCCAGTGCCCTAGACTCGGACTTTCTCTCCTTTGCCGAGACAGAAGCACTTAATTACTAGTCGTACATATCCATAAATTAAATCATACTGGGGCCGATTTCCGCTCCTATATGCACCATATGTACAGCTTTATACGGAAAATAACACGGTATCAGTGCTTTATCATTGGCCTCTATCGACATGGTACAATTCCCCAGATATGAACAATATCCACATGGTCAACATCATGCGCTGGTGTACGTGAGCCCGGTATCTGGGTCAACAAACCTTCTTGCTCTTTGGACGATCCCCACCACTTGAAAGGCTTTTCTCTTACTGACGGGCTTGATTGCCTCAATGGCGACTTTGTCTCCAATCACGGTTTCCTCCTGTTCGTCATGGGCGAGGAATTTGCTTCTTACAAAATGTTGCTAGGATGAGTTGGAAAAAATACCTTTCCATTAGGAAGCGGGCACATCCGCTCGACCTGCACCTTTGCCGTTTTCCTCATAGCGGTTCCGACGACCTGTCCAATAAATCGTTGCTTCATGTGGAAAATTTTAATTTTAATTTTTGGAAAGTTAAAGCCAACATGCATGTGCTGTGGGATGGGCAATCCCATCGATGCAATTTAGCTAAAAATGAAGCAGTGTCTTTGGTTTATAGCCCGGTCCGTAACTTTTCCTGAAAATAAGCTAGATTAGCAGCCAATTTTGGGAAGATTTCCGACGCACAATTATGAATTGAAGAATCTGAATAAGCACACGTAATGTCCGCAACAAAAGAAATCTTAATCTTGTACTGGGACTTTCAAATTCCATTAACAACGCATAAACACCACCGATCTTTTCACCTTTGCTGATTGCGATAACTGTTACATTTGGGATAATAAAATAATTTTATAGCTTGTCCTTCGCGTCAACCATAATATTATCACTAAAATTTCAGTAAATTTTAATTCCCTGCTTGTCATGTACGCCTCTCAAATAGAGCATTCATCAATCGGTGTGAATGATGAATCAACTGTCCATGACGAGGAAAGCACGCCATTCATCTTGGAATCGATA